TTTTTTTTTTTTTTTTACTAAACTACATCTGTACATTTACTCATTTGATAACAATAAAAACCACGTAGGCAACAGTAAAATGACACTATCTGACATACTGTTGTGTTACTGATAGTATCTGTAACTCAGGAGTGGTTTCATTCAAGTTCAGGAATGAGACTTGTGACATAAGATATGTACTGCAGCATTTTTCCACTGTTGCCGCACTACTTTACATGTTAGGTCAAATTAGGTTAAATGTTACAGGTAATATTCAAGTCAGTATTGATTCCAAGGATAAAACCAATAACTGAAGCCTTTCCAAAGTCAGAATTTGTTTTTTTTTAACTTATTTGGAGCATTTACAGAAATGCTGTTACATTTATTCAGTCTTGAATTACAGTTTAGAACTCTGTGTTTTAGACTGAGTTACAGTGGATTTATGAATGTAGAACTGAGACATTTGTTACGACTGGCTCTTAGGCTGCAATAAAGGAGGAAACACACAGGTGGGTTCAACTATAACATAAGGCTATTTATTAAAACAAAGCATAATCGTGAGGTGTGATTGTGAGCGTCAGTGGTGTGCGAGGGTGTATGAGTGCAGTGATCGATGTGTGGTGCATGTTGTCAGCATGAAACAAACAAAAAGAGACAAACACAGGAGCATGGCTGGCTGGGTAAGGGAGAGAAGAGAGAGCGATCTGGCACAGCAGGCCGGCTTATATAGTCAGTGAGATTGGCCAGGTGCACCAGGTTAGCAGATTGGAGGCTCCGCCCAGCCAGAAACCTGCAAGACAAGAGTGAGAGAAGACAGAGGCTCTGGAGCCGAAACACTTGTACTGTGGTATTTTTTGATTTGTTATATCGCTACTTTACTTAAGGTAACTGACTACTGATTACTTTTCCTCTACTGTGAAAAAGAAAAATACACATTCATCCCTTTTTCCACATGTAGTGTGTGCAGTTGAAACAACTTGCAGTTTTATGGAATTTTAGTCCATTTCCTTATTTTTTTTTTAACCACTGTTGTACTTCTGGTGTGATCTTGTAGTGTTGCTGCTTGTCTGTAATAATCCTGCCTACTGTTACATTCAGTCAGAAGCAGTTTGAATAACCTGGAACAAGCGTGGGATGGCTGAGGGTGAATCCACAATGGATACGTCTGAGGAGGACGAGGTAAACCAAGAACTGCATGATGGAAAGAAAATAAAAAATAACATGTTTTACCCTGCACTTTATGAAGCGATTCACTAAACTAGAGATTGTTCTCATGTATCAAGGAGTTCTATGATACAAAGGAGGATTTCCAGGATCTTTACTGTGAGGAAGGAGGACCTCCTGCAACTCTGCAGTCTGACTGTAAGTGTGTCTGATGGAGGTGTCAGTGCAGCTTAAACAGTCAACTTTTCATCAGGTTAAAAGAGACGAGTGACTGAAAACACTAATGTGGAGACAGTGAGCAGCATCTCTCTTCTCTTCTGGCAGATGTTCCTCCACCAGAAGTAACAGTCCTTCATGTTGGCAGTGACGCTGTCTCTCTTGGTGTGGCACCCAGTGGCTCCTCTGTTCAGTATAAACTCCACATAGAGTACACCTGTGGCACACGTGGAGGCAGCTTGATCATGGATGAGTGCAGCACTGTAGATGTGGATGGGCTGAGTCCTGGGACTGAGGTCACCGTCAGCATCACAAGGACCGCTGAAAACGGAATTCAAAGCACAGCAGCCTGTGTATCNCCAGAGTGATTGGATGTGGCAAACAGTGTCCATTCTGTGCAGTGCCTTGCGATGCAGGAGGAAAAGCCCATACTGAGCACTTTGCTTCACTGCATCGGCCAAGGGGTCTGGGTAAATACAGGTGGAGCTCAACGAAAAAACTTGTCACTGACATATGCTCTTCCGCTGTGATCAGTGACGTAAAGTTTCGCTGCGATGCTACAAACAATGAACCGCACCCTTACAAACGTTACAAGGAAATTTTTCCTGACTGGAAAATTTGTCCAGATGTGAGCTTCGAGGCATCAAACTACTGGAAATATGTAATGGCAACATACAACGCTGACTTTGCCAAAGCATATGGTGCAGAACGTGCTGATATTCCTGCCACATGGAAAACCATCACATACAAGCAGGCAGAAGACAGCCTCAAAGAGTCATTTGGCACCAAGTAATAGTCCTCCTCAGTAAAGGAGGGGCCCTTTAATGGTCACATTACTGTATACAAGAGAAGATGAAAGATATTGTGAGTTTACACACATATTTAACCACTTGCTTACAACAAGGTAATGTAAGAAAATGGCTGCAAGTTAATTCTCATTTGTACTCATGTTTGCATTTAATGAACTCTACTAATCTGCTTCATGACTGTTTTGTGTTACAGTTCATGTCATTACAGTCAAGCTGAAGAATGTATCAAAGCAGCAGAGAAAACAAACATTGCTTTTTTGTCTTGATTACATTAAATATGATTTGAGAGCATTTTTTGATTAATTGTGTTTGCAAAGTATTTGATGTCCAATTGTTGCACTTGTGTTCCTCATAGATCTGGATGTGGTAACGTTATAATAACATGATAATACGTTACATGTATTAATTAAATCATTTTGTGCTTGATTCTGTGACATATCTGATATCATGTATTTACATTTTGAATGTATCAAAAGATCATGAGGTTGTTTGTATGATCTAAATACTTGCATGAATGTCATTATCATGTTGTTGATTAGACAAGGTTTGAGGTCTGAGTCACATCTTCGTGACAAATGTGTGAAAAAATTATTTCATGATTAAAGAATTATACTTCTTAGTTTTTTTGTTGT